TCAATCTCATTGTCATCCATAAAACTACGAAGACCCACATCAACCAAAGCCTCATAGAGCTGGTTAGTGAAAGTTTTGCGAGTGTCTTCACCCCCTAAAACTCAAGAAAACATCATAAATACTACTAGATCTGAACTTGGAGGATTCTTGAACTTGTTCATATGCCATTGGTCAGAATAGCAAATCAAATTTGACAGCTTTTCAGTAATAAGGATTTGGACCCTTGGCAGAATGCAATCAAATGGTACAAAATTTAAGCTTGAAAGAATGATCTTTGTTCTTGTTTGGACTTATTTCTCCCTTGTGAAGTTAGACCTTGAAAATATCAATTCTTGTTCATCTTGTTGTTTTCTAATCTCTTGAGTCCAACATTCTGACTTTAATGTATGTTGGTCGATGGTTTTCATGTATTGTACTCCCTCTGTCTGAAAATATTGGTCACTTTTCACTTCTCGAGATTCAAACTACATGAATTTTGATCAACATTTTTTCTATTGATATGATACAAGAAGAATTGCAACTTACATTACTTCTTATATAGTTTTCGAATATCTAATTTTTAATTTTAAAATCTTGAATTAATCTAATATGGTTCCTACATGCTTGAATCAGAAAGTAATATGGCTAAATACTCTTATCAAATTCAATAAATACTATGAAGTGATTTAATTTGAAACTTTTGTATAGTTTTGAGAACATTATCGTAACTCACGATTAAATATAATTTTTTACTAAAACAAACCATGAGAAATCCTTGTTTAGTACATCCAATACAAAGATCAATGAAACCAGTCCACAAGGCTAGATCATGAGATTTATTTGTGATTTCTTAAATTCCAAACATGAGCACACATAATAGAAACCATAGTATTTGGCTTATACTAATCTAGTTGTTGTCCCACCAAAATTGTGACTGGAGATAATCCACAACTTTCTTGTCAACTTGGAATGCTTTTGCAAGAACATCATCATTGATTGGTGGGTCTGAGCCAAATACTGCATTTGCAACAGTGATGACACCTGGATTTTGGCTACTGAGTCCAGCAAATGCAACGGCCTTAGTCTTTCCCACATTAAATTGAAAATGAATCAGACCTATTGGAAAAACGAACACATCTCCAGGATGTAGTATCTTGGTAAAGAGTTTATTCTTCATATTTGGACCAGGGTTCGAAAGAACAAATCCAACATAGAGTGTGCCCTCAAGGACAGCAAGAACTTCAGTTCCTCGGGGGTGGGTATGAGGTGGGTTGAAACCGTATGGTGCAAAATCAATACGAGCTAAAGAAATGCCTAGAGTGTTGAGTCCAAGCAAGTTATTGACATTCACAGCAGTCACAACAGATCCAAGTTGATTTGAAGTATTTCCAGGTACATTTAACCCTGGTCTAAAGAAGTCATCTGCAGTAACATCCTTTGGATCCTTGCAAAATTTCCCATTCACGAAAACTGTACACAGAAATCACAATTAGAAAGCAAAAATAACAACAAATACTATAATAGTATAGAAAACAAACAAAAGCAGCAAGAAGTATGCAAAAGCCATGATTGAAATAAGAATCAAAGTTACCAGCAGACTTGGAATCATTAACAGCAACACAAAAATCTTGTAAAGGACTAGGATCAGATGCATGGCTTATTGAAGTCACCGCAGCCAATATGGCAATGGTTAATACAAAGTACTTGAGAGCCATAACAATTAGTTCAAACTCTGTCTATAAATATGTTGAGACAATTTACTGATTTATCTGTGTGAGAACATGAGCAGAAAGTTGTGGCTATTTATAGATAACAATTTGATCAAAATTGTCTTCAAACAAAGTGTGGATTTGGCTTCTGCATGCATCACCAAGTCTTCCATGGTGAATATTTAAACAATTATGTCATGAAGTTATGTCAACAACGTAACTATTAATGACTAAATCTTACTAAAGTAAAAAAATTGTGAACATTCGCAGTAATAACAAGAAATTTGTCTAAATAAAGCGAAGTTTGAATTGGTAAAATATTTCCCTTCCCTTAAAGTACTATTGAAAGTTTTACCTTTTCTAATAACTTTTCAATTTTGACTTTGTTACTCCTTATTTCTTCTGTATTTTTCTTATTTCCTAATACTGACCATTTCCAATGGCCCAGGGAGGATTAATCAGTCTCTGTAGTTGTTGAAGAAGGGTTCAGGATTTGGGTTTATTATAAACTAATCATCAAAGACTTGGTAATTAAGAAGCTACCTTAATTAATTCATTGTTTATTTTGGGGTTAATTTAATTTGAGGACTCATTCAAGAAATTTCATCTATAAATAGCGCTGCCATTCCCATGCAAAGTCTATCACCTTCAAGCTTACAAGAAAAAAAACTAAAGCAGTATCGTTTTAATTTATTAGAAGATTAATTATCTAGCTAATTATGGCTTTGGCCCTGAAGTTTCTTGTTATAACCATTGCCATATTGGCTTTGGCATCTTCACCTAGCACTGCCTCAGACCCAAGTCCCCTTACAAGATTTTCTGTGTTGCTGTTAATGACTCTAAAACAACTGGTAATTGAAATTAATTACTGCTCAAGTTCTAGCTTCGCGTTTAAATGAATACAGAGTGCTTGTTTTTCTTATTCATTTTTTTGATTTCTAATGTACATTTGTTTTCATGCAGTTTTCGTGAATGGAAAAGTTTGCAAGGATCCAAAACTTGTCACTGCTGATGACTTCTTCAGATCAGGCCTAAACAAGCCTGGAAATACGTCAAATCAACTTGGATCAATTGTTACTGCTGTCAACGTCAACAATTTACCTGGGCTCAACACTCTAGGCATTTCTTTAGCTCGTATTGATTTTGCACGACATGGTCTCAATCCACCTCATACACATCCTAGAGGAACCGAGGTTCTTGTTGTTCTTAAGGGAAGACTCTATGTTGGTTTCGTCCTTTCTAACCCTGGCCCAAATATGAAGAACAAGTTATTCACCAAGATTTTGAACCCTGGTGATGTCTTTGTTTTTCCCGAGGGTCTAATTCATTTTCAACTTAATGTGGGAAAGACTAATGCCATTGCATTTGCTGGTCTGAGCAGTCAAAATGCAGGAGTTATCACTGTTGCAAATGCAGTATTTGGCTCAGATCCACCACGTGGGAAAGACTAATGCCATTGCGTTTGCTGGTTTGAGCAGCCAAAATGCAGGAGTTATCACTATTCCAAATGCAGTATTTGGTTCAGATCCACCAATTAATGATAATGTCCTCTCTAAAGCATTTCAAGTTGACAAGAAAGTGATTGATGATCTTCAAGAAGAATTTTGGTGGGATAATAACTAAAAGTATAAACCAACAACTCATGTTTGTTTCTTTAAAAAAATATACCATTCAATGATGTTCTAATTACCATGGTGTGAAGATATAGTAGTATTATTTGTGAATAAGATTGAGTATCTGGACTTTTGGATTGACTTTCATTCAGGTTGATTGATGTAATTAATAAAGATTGGTTAATGATATTAAATATAGTGAATTTCATTTTTGAATGAAATCTGATGTTTCCCTAGTGATTTAGAAACTGTTGATAGAATATTGTCTATGGACTGATTTTCATTCACGTATTTTTTTTTTTCATTTTACCCATAGACCATAGTAGTAATTATTGTTGAAAACTACAAACATATCAATCATGACACATAAATAAACTAAATATATATTCAATAAAAATTGATTCTATAAAAGTAACATCGTCCACAGAGGTGGATCCACAATTTTAAGCTTTATTAGTTCAACCTTTCAAATACTTAGCATTGAACCCATCATATTTTAAAGTTATGCGTTCATATATACTATCTATTGTAATTTTTGTGGATTTGTATACACAAATATGTGTTCTTCGTCGAAAATAATGGATTCTTCCGAACCTGGTGATATCAAGCTACCTATACCTCTGGTCAAACACTCTTCCTAAATCCTTATTAAGGGATGTGTAAAAAAAACCGACGGAGAAAATATTTAGAAATGATAAATAGAAAATATTACACAATTTTTTAAATTTAGCTACCTAAACTTTACTCTTATTCATGAGGACGTACACTACCCGTGATTTGTATGAATTAGACGGGCTTGACAACGACTTCTCAATTCGTACCCTGCTAGAAACCATGTGGTCATTTAAGATAGAAATAGACAATATCATGAACTTTGGAAGAAAATAACCAAAATGATCCTTGTTGTATTGGGTTTGAACCATTTTGGTCCTTGATATATAAAAAGATGATGTATTTGGTCTCAAACCTTAAATTTAGTACTCCCTCCGTTTCAAAAAGAATGATCTCCTTTTCTTTTTAGTTTGTTTCAAAAAGAATAATCTCTTTCTTTTTTTGGTAACATTTTAATTTCAGCTTTCCACGTGGCATGTTTAAGGCCACAAGATTAAATGACAATTTTGTACATTTGACATAACTTTAATTTAAGACCACAAGATTCAAAAGTCTTCTTTATTTTCTTAAACTCCGTGCCAAGTCAAACTAGGTCATTCTTTGTGAAACGGATGGAGTAATAATTTAACTAAAAAAAAGAAGAAAAAACAAAGGTCGTTAAAGCGTGTGACCATCTCATCTAAAGGCGTGATATTAAATCGCAAGACCTTTACCAGTTCTGATACCATGTTGAAGTTAGTGACTATCTCATCTAAAAACTTAAGTTATTAAAGAGAGTACATTTTTATTAGTTAATGATATTCTCCACAGAATCAAACTAAGTCGGTTCATGAAATTCTTATCTGGTCTTTTTGAGTTACTCTGTTAAATTTAGGGTTTGGGATCAAATGAATCATTTTTATATATATATATTACAGACTATCTGTATTGAAGAGATATATTAAGGACCAAAATGATCCAACCCCCATACAACAAGGACCATTTTAGTCATTTTCTCAACTTTGATTACCGAATGAACATTTAAAAGAATAGAATAATTATAAAATGAAACTCAAAGTTGATTGACTTTGGTGGTAAATTTTGTTCAATGACCACCACCAAACAATTAGCTTATGATGATCAATCATTCAATAATTCCAAGGGTTCATATGATGTGTTTTTGAGTTTCAAATGTGAAGACACAGGCAAAACTTTCACGGACCATCTCTCCACAGCTTTAAAACAAGCCGGATTTTGCACGTTCAAAGGTGGTGGTTGTGATGATATTGATGAATCAAGAAGAGGAGAAAACATTAATTCAGAGTCAATACAAGAATCAAAGATGTGTATAATTGTATTCTCACAAAACTATGCATCTTCTGGTTGGTGTTTGGATCAACTTGTTTCGATTCTTGAACGTAAAATGAAGTTTGCATGTATGATATTGCCCATATTTTACCATGTTGATCCTTCCAATCTAAGGAAGCTCAAGGGAAGTATTGGGGAAGCATTAGATAGACATGAAGAAAAATTCAAGTGTACAAGAAATGAAAAAGAGTATTGGGAGGACAAGTTGAAGAAATGGAAAAATGCACTTAGCCAAGTTGCTGATTTGGCTGGAATGGTCCTTCAAAATCAGTACTCTCTCTTCCATCTTTGCCAAATGCTAAAAAGAGGAAAACAGAAAAAATAAATTATGTTTGTAACAAAAAGAAATTTTAAGTAGGTTTTGATTTTTAAACTCTTTTTTTTTTTTTTTTGAGGTGTTTAACAAAGACCAAAATTTATTTTTAAACACTTACTTTTACGCAAAAAAAAATAGGGTACAAAAATAAATTAAAAGTTGAACATAACCAACTTATAGTAACTTTTAGCTTATAAACTATATACTTAAAACAAAAGCAAACCCAAACACCAAATTACCATGATTTATTTGTAAAACAGTTTCTTTTTTCCTCTTTCTTTTTACGACTTTTTTTTTGGTTAAAGGAATAGGGAAAATGATATGATGTACATTGCTAGTGTATGTCTTTTTACGGTGTTGTGATTTACCAGTGTAATTATATTGATATTAATTATTATAATTTTTTTTTCTCGTAATATGCATAAATTAAATTCAAACTTAAATGACTTTTGGATTGGCTTACCCAAAAAAAGAAGTTATTTTAAAGTTACAAACAAAAAGTGAAACTTTTAAGCTAATCTTATTTTAAGTCAATTCTAACTTTAAGACAGTTTTTAACTTCTAAAGTGTTTTGGCAAAAAAATAACTTAAAATAAATCAAAAATGACTTAAAATAAGTCAAAAATCAAAAGTAGAGATGTCTCCTACTTTTTATTATTTTGACTTAAAAATCATTTCAATTTGACTTTTTATTTTAATTTAAAAGCTACCTTTTTTTTTTTTTATGTCAATCCAAAGAGCAAATGACATAAATGGTCCCTAAACTATCCTAGTTGGTTTAAAATAGTCCCTTAACTATACAGTTGACGGATATGGTCCTTTAACTATCCACCTTTTTGTCAAGTTTGGTTTCCATCCACTTTTTATAAAAACCATCAACAAATGTGCAGCAGTTTGGTGACGTTTTTGGAGCTGTGTTTTGTGCAGTTTGGTGCTGATTTTGGTGGTTGGTGCTGCTGTTTGTGCAGCAGTTTGGTGACGTTTTTGGAGCTGTATGTGCAGTAGTTTGGTGACGTTTTAGGAGGTGTTTTTGTGCAGTTTGGTGCTGATTTTTGGTAGTCTGATGCAGCAGTTTGATGCTGATTTTTTGGTGGGTTGATGTTGCTGTCTAGTGATGTGTTATGTATAGTTTGGTGTTGATTATGCAGTTTTCTGCTGGTTTTTTTTGGGTGTTCTAGTGCTGCAATTCGATCAAAATTTGATAGCTGCTATTTTTTTGTTGTAGTTTAAGTTATTTTCTGCACAACAATTATTGAAAACAGAGCACTATAGTTCAATTTAGTTGCTGATATTTGAATTTTTCTACAATTTTAGTTGTTGATTGACTTAACGGTGTTAACTAACAGTAAAAAGTGGATGGAAACCAAACTTGACAAAAAGGTGGATAGTTAAAGGACCATATCCGTCAACTGTATAGTTAAGGGACTATTTTAGACCAACTAGGATAGTTTAGGGACCATTTATGTCATTTGCTCTCAATCGAAACTAGCTCTTTAGTCTTTCAACATGGGCCATTAAAGAACATTTTTGAATCAGTCAAGAAAATCTTCACTACGTATCCTAAAATCTTTTAAATCCATCAAATTCGTTTTCCATATTGGATAAATGATATGTGGCTACGTTTAATCATTTTCACGAGGGGTGGGCATTCGGTACTCAGTTCGGGTTTTTTAATTTTTGGATTTGGTAATTCGGTAATTGATAGTTAAAAGTAAATATCAAATACCAAATTTTTAAATTTCGGTTTGGTAATTCGGAAAACGGTAAATTAAATTTGGTATGGTATTCGTTAATACCATATTGAAGTTATAGTCAATTGTATTACAAAGTTAATACTATTTCTCCAATCATTTTTGTTTTCTTACGTGGACACACAATATAATAGAAGATCAACAAGTAAGAAGACATTAAAAAAAACAAATTGATACAACTAAAAGACATGTTAGAACTAAAAACACTTTAATTTGTTAGAACTTATATGTTTGATTTTCTGTAATATTTATATGGATATTTCAGGCATGAATCCACTTTCATCAAGAAGATTATTAACGTTATCAGCACAAGATTAAGTCGTCCAGCCTTATATATTGCTTCTTGTTCAATCGGAATACATCGTAGAGCGAGGCCCATTAATTCTTGGGTTCAAGCTGATGTATCGAACAATTCGAATATTGAAATACTTCTAGTTTGTGGTATTGGAAAAACAACAATTGCCAAAATTGTTTACAATTTAAACTTTGGATATTTTGAAATTAGTTGTTTCTTAGCAAACATAAGAGAAACTTCAAAACTCCCTAATGGTCTCATCACTTTACAAAAGCAACTTCTTTCTATCCTTCTAAAGAATGAAAAGGTAAAAATATCAAGTGTTGATGAAGGAATCATCAAGATAAGAAATGCTTTATGTAATCGAAAAGTTCTTCTTGTTCTTGATGATGTTGATGAACCTGATTTGGTTGAAGCTATATTTGACATGAAAGATTGGTTTGGTTTTGGAAGTAAAATAATTGTGACAACTAGGCACAAAAGCTTACTAAGACTTCAATTAGGCCATGAGGTACATGAAGTTGGAATTTTGTACACAATTGAAGCAAATGAGCTCTTCAATTTTCATGCATTTGGTCATGAAAACATTAATCAAATAAGTGAAGATAAATGCTACAAAGAATACTCAAAGGAAGTGATTGAATGGTGTGGAGGACTTCCATTAGCTCTTCAAGTTATTGGTTCTTCCTTGGCTGGAAAATCTAAGGATGTGTGGAGAAGTGCAACAGAGAAGTTGAGAGATATACCTACAAATAAAATTGTTGACAAATTGAGATTAAGTTATGAGTTGTTGGAAGATGATCATGATCAGAATTTGTTCCTTCACCTTTCTTGTTTCTTTGTGTGGATGAAAAAAGATTTTGTAGTTAGGATATTAGATAAATGTGAGTTTTACACATTGGTGGGATTACAAAATCTCATTGATAGAAGTAGTTTAGTGACAATTGATGATTATGTAAATGATATAAGAATGCATCAATTAGTACGTGCTATGGGAAGAGACATCGTTCGTAGAGAAGCACCTACTGATCCTGGAAAGCATAGTAGACTTTGGCACCACGCAAATTCTTACAATGTCCTAAGAGGAAAAACAGTAAGTACTAAGCATGTGTTTATTGAATATTTAATTTTGTCACCTTATTCCCAAATTGGTGTTTCACTAGGTATGTGCTACCTCTCATGCATCAACAACACAAGTGTATCGGATGATTCTTCCCATCAAACAAAAAGAAATCACCTAGCACTTTGGTTGTATGTGGAAGTGGAACTTATATTTCTTTTTTGATTCTTTTGAGTTTTATATTAGGGAACAGAATCAGTGCAAGGGATGGTACTGGACATGCGTATGATTAAGAAAGAAAAGTACTCTAGTCCTTTAACATCAGTGAAACAAAAAATTTCCACAGCTTGGAGTACAAAATTGGGCAATTCTAGTTTACAAGATCATGTGAAAACTGATGCCTTTGAGAAAATGCACAAGCTACAATTTCTCAGATTCAACAAAGTTCAAGTGAATGGAAGTTACAAGAATTTTCCAAAGGGATTGAGATGGCTATGTTGGAGTGGATTCCCAGAGGAGTGTATACCAAATGAGTTTCCAATGAGAAATGTTGTGTCTATCGATATGCGATACAGCAGCTTGAAACAACTTTGGAACGGATATAAGGTATTGTTCATTCATTTTATTGAGCTACGTACATTTCGTAGCTAGTGATTATTTTTTTTAACTCCATTCCAAACTATCCTCAAAGTATCTCTGGTATATATTTATGGGCAAAATTTGACACTCTAAAATATGACTAATTGTACTTAACAAAGGACTTGTTTTGATATTTTAGTTTCTCCAATACCTAGAGATACTGGATCTAAGCCATTCTTAAGAGCTCATCACAACACCAGATTTGTCGGGGCTTCCCAATCTTGAAATGTTGATACTTGAACATTGTACCAAGTTAATCAATGTTGACGACACCATTGGATGTTTGCAAACACTCATCCTTTTGAACCTTAAAGATAGTCAGAAACTAAAGAGCCTCCCAGATAGCATATGTAAGTTAAAATGTCTCGTGATACTTGACATCTCAGGCTGCCCAAATATTGAATACCTACCAACAAGAGCTGGATAAATTGACATCACTAAAGGAGCTTTATGCTGATGGGATCAATTTGGGGGCCCAAACATGGTATTCATCTTTATGGTCTTGGGCCTGGAAACAAAGGGTATCCCTTATAGTTCATGAAATCCATTTTCCAAGGTCCTTGCATGTGTTAGACATTGCAAATTGCAATTTATCTCTTGATGCTTTTAAGAATGTTGATTTAGGCATTGTGAGTTTGCTAACTTGTCTAAATTTGGAAGGAAATCCAATTAGCAATCTGCCAGATAGCATTAAGAATCTTACGAGGCTTAAATATCTTGGCATTTCATATTGTACAAAGATCAAACGTCTCGATTGATTACCATCAAATCTCAGTGAGTTAAATGCTAGTGGATGCATATCCTTGGAGAAAGTAGCTTCTAATTGTGCGAAAGGGTATCCAGTAGAAGGTTATATAAATTGCAACAAACTTATTGAGGTGGAAGGTGTGTTCAAGTTAGAGCCACTGGAAAATGCAGGTGCTCAACTGCTTGCCTTCATGGGAATTTCAAATTTACAACCTATGACTAGTATGATGGTTTCTCTTTTATTTGGTCGTGTGAGTAATATTGTTGGGAAAAAATATCCAAGCTTTGTACGCGATGACGTAGCAAGCTTATTTTCACTATCACCTAACAAGCTCCCCCCACAGGTCTGTCTCTTTTTACATGATTTATCACATGCACATTTTGTTGAATATAATACAAATCTAATTAATTTAGTGTACATGATGTCTCAGATATTGTATCACTGTGGTGTTTTCTCAACATTTTTGCCTGGCGAAAGCGTACCCAATTGGTTCCGCTACAAGTTCACAGATGCAGCAGATGTCTATTGCACCCTACCAAATAATAATGTCAATAGCCATAGAGTAATAAATGGACTGAGCATTTGCTTTGTATACAAATGTCCAGAAGCATACATCAACGTTGGCTTGTACGATGGACCAGCAATTTGGTTACGAAATCAGACAAAAGATTTGAACTGGGCTTTTTATCCTGCTTGGTTTGGCCTTCCAGAAGATGATCAAAGTGGGATGATGTGGTTAAGTTATTGGAAAGTTGAGAATTTATTTCAACAAGGAGATGTTATTGAGGTTATGGGGTCTCCTCAGTTTGCTGAATTTAAGGAGCTTGGTGTCAAAATCTTCTACCTTGATGAACAAACAGAGAATTATTATGATTCTAATGTGATGATGAGTACTAAAAGTAACAAGCCATTTGAAGACATCCTAGGCTACTACTTTGATGATGAAGTAAATACTTACTACATTTGTATTTGAGATTAGTCTTATTTGGTTCATCAAAACCACCTGAACAATCCCTGTATGAGATAAGAAGCAGAGTCAAATTCATAATCTATAGTTGGGTTCACAATGAATGTGTCATTTTTTACTTTTCTTAAATATTTGATCTTGTCTACTTCATCTATATATATATATATATATATATATGTTTACTATCTATAGATCTATCTAGTAACGTTAAAAAGGTAGAAAGACTACAATAAAATAGTAACGTGTTGAAAGATGCAAAAATCACTTTTATAAAATTAGATTAGACTACTAGTCCATAGTAAGTGAATTATCAAGATTTTTTTCCTAGTTTAAACGAAAAAGGGCCAAAAATACTCCTGGACTTTTTGGAAAGGTTCAAATATACCCCCATTCACCTATTTGGCTAAAAATACTCCTCAATCCACCTTTTGGGTCCATTTTCCATTTTTATCCTTAAGACTAACATTTTTTTTTCTTTTTTAGTTATTATTATTATTATTATATAGTCGAAGTCTCAAGTTTTCATTCAACTATATTCGGCAGGGGAGGATCTACTCAAGGGTGCCATGCCACCCACGAGCTTCGGCGGAAACTTTATGTATGTAGGTATATATAGAGTCTATATATAAATAAAAAACCCGCCACCCATAGTACCAAAGTATTATGTGGTGCACGCAGAAAAAGGCTACTTTCTTTATCTTTAATTAATTTTGTAAGTGTGAAATTTAGCCTAATTCATCCTACTCCTAACATTAGATATTATTTTTCCATCCTATATTAATTATTTACATTTTACTAAAAATAGTTATTAAAAATTATTTGTCAATTAACAAAATTAAACAACAATTTGTTAATTTTTTTTTCATTATCCTAACAATTAATTTTTCTTGAAAGTGTAAACAAAATTTGTAAAAAATTACAAAAATGTTTATCTTAAAGATTAAAATAGTAAACTATCATTTTTATTTATAATTTCTTAAAGAAGTAAAAGAAAAAGTTAATAACTAATAGAAAGAGGTATAAATTGTTTTTTTCTCTTCTCAATAATTTCATAAACACTTAAATGCCATCAAATATTCTCCAACAAGAAAATATAACAGAAAGATCATTAGTAATTTTAACCAATAATCATATAAGTTTTGGTACTATTTTTCATGTAACCCAAAATCGAAAAACATCCATAAACTCCTACATATAACATACTCTCTCAATTTATATGATATTTTTTTATTCTTGAAATTCAAGCTACGTGAAATTTAATTAAAATATTTTAAAATATTTATTATTAATACATTAACATGATAAGAATTGCAACTTATGTTTGTTCATAAATATTACCTTCTCGCTAAGTTGCAATTCAACCAAAAACATTATTAGTTGTGATTCTTATCATGTTTATATAATTTTAAAAAGGGAACAAAAAAATACACCTTATAGCTTCACTTTCAAGAACAAAAAATAACCTATAAATTAATGGAGAGAGTAAAATGAAAAAAAAAATGAAAAATTGGTTACTTATATTTATATTTTGTTGAGTGACAAGTAATTTTAAATAACTATTTATGTTTATCCTAAAAATAATACAATTGATTTTGTATGAGGTTAAAAATAGATATCTTAATTTATCTTAGTTTAACTCTTTTTTAAATACGTTAATTATTTGACTTTTAAATCAAAATTACTATTAATATATTTATCTTTATTTGATTTTTGACAAATGAACATTATGAACCACCATAAATTTTTCTTAAACAGCCTACAAGCATTTTTTTAAAAAATTATACATGTTTATTCCTATTTTATTGATTGATTTCTCATATAAATTGAAAAGACGAGTAATTCGAATCAAACATAAAGTTAATTTAGGCGATGAGTCCGTTTGGCACCCAGAGACTCTAAATTCTGGATCTGCCTCTGATATTCGGTACTACAATAATACTACTATTAATAATACTGTTCTGTTCCTACATGATTGGATCAGAAAGTAATATGGGTGAATACTTGATCAAATTCAATAAATACTATAATGTGTTTTAATTTGATGCGTGTGTATAGTATTGAGAACATTGAAGTAACACACAATAAATTATGACTAAAACAAATCATGATAAATCCTCGTTTAGTATATCCAATACAAAGATCAATGAAACCAGTTCACAAGGCTGGATCATGAGATTTATTTATGATTTCCTAAATTCCAAACATAAGCACAAATGATAACAGCATACTAATTTAGTTGTTATCCACCAGAATTGTGATTGGAGATAATCCACAACTTTCTTATCAACTTGAAATGCTTTAGCGAGGATATGTGTGAGAACATGAGCAGAGAGTTGTGGCTATTTATAGATAACAATTTGATCAAACTTGTCTTCAAACAAAGTGTGGATTTGGCTTCTGCATGCATCACCAAGTCTTTCATGGTGAATATTTAAACAATTATGTCATGAAGTTATGTCAACAACGTAATTATTAATGACTAAATTTTACTACATTATAATTTTTTGTGAACATTCGCAGTAATAACAAGAAATTTGTCTAAATAAAGCGAAGTTTGAATTGGTAAAATATTTCCCTTCCCTTAAGTACTATTGAAAGTTTTACCTTTTCTAAAAACTTTCCAATTTTGACTTTGTTACTCCTTATTTCTTCTGTATTTTTCTTATTTCCTAATACTGACCATTTCCAATGGCCCAGGGAGGATTAATCAGTCTCTGTAGTTGTTGAAGAAGGGTTCAGGAATTGGGTTTATAATAAACTAATCATCAGAAGACTTGGTAATTAAGAAGCTACCTTAATTAATTCATTGTTTATTTTGGGGTAGTTTAATCTGAGGATTCATTCAAGAAATTTCATCTATAAATAGCCACCATTCTCATGCAAAGTTTATCACAAGAAATAAACTTAAAGCAGCATCATTTTAATTAATTAGAAGATTAATTATCTAGCTAATTATGGCTTTGACCCTGAAGTTTTTTGTTATAACAATTGCCATATTGGCTTTGACATCTTCACCTAGCACTGCCTCAGACCCAAGTCCCTTGCAGGATTTCTGTGTTGCTGTTAATGAATCTAAAGAAACTGGTAATTAAGATTAATTACTACTTAAGTTCTAGCTTCGCGTTTTACATGAATATAGAGTGCTTGTTTTACATTTTCTTTTTTGGTTACTAATGTTTCTGTTTTCATGCAGTTTTCGTGAATGGAAAAGTTTGCAAGGATCCAAAACTTGTCACAGCTGATGACTTCTTCAGACCAGGCCTAAACAAGCCTGGAAATACGTCAAATCAACTTGGATCAATTGTTACTGCTGTCAACGTCAACAATTTACCTGGGCTCAATACTTTAGGCATTTCTTTAGCTCGTATTGATTTTGCACGACGTGGTCTCAATCCACCTCATACACATCCTAGAGGAACCGAGGTTCTTGTTGTTCTTAAGGGAAGACTTTATGTTGGTTTCGTCCTTTCTAACCCTGGCCCAAATATGAAGAACAAATTGTTCACCAAGATTTTGAACCCCGGAGATGTCTTTGTTTTTCCTGAGGGTCTAGTTCATTTTCAACTTAATGTGGGAAAGACTAATGCCATTGCATTCGCTGGTCTGAGCAGTCAAAATGCAGGAGTTATCACTGTTGCAAATGCAGTATTTGGCTCAGATCCACCAATTAATGACGATGTCCTCGCTAAAGCATTCCAAGTTGACAAGAAAGTGATTGATAATCTTCAAGAACAGATTTGGTGGGATAATAACTAAAAGTAAAACCAACAACTGATCATGTTTGTTTCTTTAAAAATATATACCATTCAATTAATGATGTTCTAATTACAGGTTATGAAGATATAGTAGTATTATTTGTGAATAAGATTGAGTATCTGGGACTGATTTTTTCATTCAGGTTGATTGATGTATTTGAATAAAGATTGGTTAATGAAATTAAATATAGTGTATTTTCATTTTTGAAGGAAATATGATGTTTACCTACTGATTTAGAAACTGTTGATAGAATATTGTCTATGGACTGATTTTCGTTCACGTATTATTTTTTTCATTTTACCCGTAGCAGTAGTTGTTGTTGAAAGCTACAAACATTGACACATAAATAAACTAAATATATATTCATTCAATATAAAGAAATTCTATCTTAAGACCTGAATAAAAGTACATTTCGTAGCTAGTGATTTTTTTTTAACTCCATTCCAAACTTTGTTTTGATATTTCAGTTTCTCCAATACCTAGAGATACTGGATCTACTTTTAAGAATTATTAATTTATACTATTAATGAGACCATGCATTTATTTAGGGGTCTTTGGAAGATATATTATCTTATCGAAATGGGTAATTCAATTAGACTTTGTGGTGCAGTTATTCTTATATTTCAGATAACAAGTGGGATAATAATAGTAATAGATACAAACGATACCATAATACGAACCACCATTCCTATAGTTGTAGGCTTGTTATGGTAAATACTGGATGAATGGTGTTCATTGCCTGGGCCACAAGGAGGAAGGGAGACGCCACAAAGGCCCAAATTGTTTTCGGATCTTGAAGCTGAAAATGTAGCCAACTGTCCACCAGAAGGAATCATTCCCGATAGGTTGTTGTTTGAAACATCAAGATCACTAAGAAATGAAAGGCTTGCTAACGAGGGTGAAATGAATCCCAGTAGGTTGTTATGTGACAGATCAACAATTCCAACTATCTTTAGACCTCCAAAGATGAATGGAATGGTTCCAGTTAAATTGTTGTGTCCCAAATTTAGAACTTGAAGGAAGTTCATCAGGAATAGTTCCTGATAAAGAATTGTAGGAAAGATCAAGGTAAATCATGCTCCCATTGCTCGTGAAGGTGTACATCGTCCTGCCAGAATAGATCCTAGTTGATGGACACAAGTGAACCATAGACAAAATCTCAAGCCTCTCTTCATGGATACCCTCAAACTCAATCAGTCCACCAGCACTCTTGCATTCAGTTCCACCCTCATTTCTCACAAAAGCAAACT